CTGGCTAGGGAATTCTGGGAGTTGACGTCCACACAGCTTAAAGCATGCTGGCTGGGGAATTCTGGGAGCTGAAGGCCACCCATCTTAAAGTTGCCAAGGTTCAGAAACACTGCTGTAGGGACTGATGGCAGCCAGGGACACATGTTCCACTAAGGGATCAGCTGTGCCAGCGTGTTGCAATAATTCAGCCCCCTGCACGTGCCAAATGCCCACATTTCTTTTCCGTCGTCCCACCCAATGGAAGGAAGATGGAAAAGGCATGGGGACCACTTGCTCCTCAGGAGGATAACTCTTCAAAACCAGAACAGAATGTTTGGTGTGGCGGGAGAAGCCGGCAGAAGGAAGATCAAGTTCAAAAACGGGTCAGATCAGGCTGGGAGCTGCAGAGGAAAAAGAGCCAGGAAAAGTCCTCAGAGCCCCTCAAGGGAAGAGGCTGCTGGGAAGCGGCTCAAAATGGGGCTGTCTGTGACACGTCAAGCCCCTGCCTGGTCATGTGACACACGCAGCCCATCCCGGGCTGCTCAGTGTACACGCGTATGCAAGCACACGGCCGCTGCTGAAAGCCTTCCAGAAGCTCTTAAGGTTTTCCCAACCTTGTTTGACTCTTAAGCATCAGATATAAGCCTTCCCCAGCTGTTGCCCTGCAGCTAGTCAGGACTCCGATTCTCAGCTCGCTCTCAAAGCATTTTCTTTCGACCAGCTGCTTTCAACATACTGCTGGTCCAGTGGGTAGGACTACACCTCCCATCATTTCTACCCACGATCACTGGATGAGATCTTGGGAAGCGTGGTCCAACACACCAACGGGGCCAGCAAGGTAGGTCACGCGACCGGACAGACCCTCCTGGCTGGTGCGGGCAAACGGTTTGATTCTGGTGAAAGTTGGTTTTGATACCTTTCAGCAGCTGGTACCTCTGTCAGAGCAAAGGGTTAAATGTATCTTCTCTTCTCCCCCTCCAACTTCCTGAACCACAGAACTAAATGTGCTACAAGCCACATCCGGTTTCATTTAGGAGACTGCAAAAGTGTATTTCCGCCCCCGCTCCAGTCACACACACATATACACACACACACACAATCGAACCGCTCTACACCTGTTGGTTGCGTACCTTTTTTCCTCGTCGGGAGAAATGGTGAGGCTGGAGTCAATGAAGGCAAAGGGAGAGGAGAAAAAGGAATCAGAGTGCAAATCTCACATTTGGGTTACGTTTGCATCCAGCTGTTTGTCCATCTCCTCCTCCCAGAATACCCAGATAGCAGCTGGCCTAAAGCAGTGCGACGAAGGTGGGGACTTGAACCCACCACCCTCTGCCACTCTCCAGCTTAACTACTCAGTCTGCCCCTCCAGAACAAAAGGAAAGCAAACCAGCCAGTGCCAGGTGTTTGGGGTTCACTCCCATGATCCCTTGCCACCGGCTGGGGCTGATGGGAGTTGGGGTCCAAAGCCTCTGAAAGATAACAGGCTGCCTACCCCACCACACAACAGCACCGCTCTCTTTCTCCCGCTGGGACACCTGACTCTCAAAGCCCCCCCCCCTTACGCTGCCCTCCATTTTTGTTTCTTGAAAACTCACCGGTAGCACAGCCCCATCTTTGCTCAGCAGAAGCAGAACAGCATTCAAAAGGCAAATAAACATGTTCTGCAGGGTGAGCTACTGAGACTGTTTGGTGAGGAAAACCCACTGCTGGACCGAGCGAGATACAGCAACTGAATGGGGAAAGGGGCCACCCGGAGAGTTTATACAGCCGGCAAGGATGATGCAACAAGGAGCAATGTCCCGGGATGGGCGGAGAACATCCCCTTCTCCTCCCCTCCTGCCAGCTGGATCCTATTATCTGGTAGGAACTTGGCCGGGAAGCCACGGGGACACCACTGACTCTCATCCCAGTGCTAACGGGATGACTGCCAGGAACCAGAAGCCCAGTCCATGGGAAAAAAGAGTGGGGGAAAACAGGGCTTGGCTGTTCTACAAGGGAGATCCCAATTGGGCGGGGGGGCTGTTTGAAACAGAAACCTTGGATGGGATCAGCAGCTGGAGTTCAAGAGGGGCTGGATCACAACAAACGTAGGCTGGAAGGAACAGCTACTCAAAGCTAAACGGTTGTTCCCATTTGGGTCACTGTGGATCTGAGGTCAAAAAGTGATGGGTATTTTCTGCCCAGCCCAGCTGCAGGGGACCCTGCAGGCCCCCAACAGGAGACGTAATCATTCATGTGGGTCCACAAACAGGAGGGTGACGCCTGCGGCAAGGTAGGGCGAGTCCCGTTTAGGACTCTTTCCTAACCTGCTGCGAGGGGGAAAGGTCGAAAGACCATCTTCCCAAGCATGGTGACACCTAGGAGTCAAGATGGCACCCTGTTGGCTCCGAAAGCATCCAGGGTTGGAGAATGAGCTCAGTGGGGGAAGAACAGGGGCACCAGGCCTTGGGCATAGACAGCGGAACCCCAAAGAAGGAACGCCTTCTCTGCTAGGGTGAAGGAGGAACATGAAAGGGCAAGTTAACAAACAATTCATGCATGGCAGTAAGTCAGGAGACCTTCACTCACTGCATCTCCTCCAATTTGGCCAACAGCTGTTCGGCCAGCTGTTTCTCCTTGGCCTCGCGGATGCCTTTGTCCTTGGTCTGATATCGTTCTAGTTCAGACAACTCCTTCTCTCCTGGTGTCATTCCCATTTTCTTTTTTTCCCTGTGGAAACAAAGAACAGGCAGTGCAGCTTTTTTCTCACCACAAGCTAAGCTGAGAAACAGCATCAGTCGGTGACCTTCTGTCCCAACTTATTTACCACTGCAAATACTTTAGGAAACCAAGAATATGTTCCGTGCAATGCGCTTAATCTAGCGTGCTTAATCTTGGCACACGGCTTCAGCTAACTCCTGAACACAACACGTTAAGCTACAGAAAAACTTAACTAAATGTAAAACTAACCAACCCTAGCAAGTTGTGCAAATACTTTTCCTAGCTTAGTTGCCCATTCCCATCCTAAGCCATCGACTATTGTTTATACAACATGCTGAGTTTGTGTAACATACTGAGCCAAGATCAAAGAAATGGCAGTAGGACTTTGGTTGATGGGTGAACGAAAGAGCCATTCAGAACTGAAGCAGAAAACATGCTTCAGAGGGGGGCCCAGGGGCATTCACTATACCTGCTGGCACCTCCTTAAAGAAGCCACACCTTTTCCTGAGATTGTACCGCAGCCACACAGCCCCAGGAAAATACACATTTGTGTTAAGGAGAGGGTGGTGTGAAAACTTCTCTGCACCTTGCTGGTACCACCTTAACTCCCACACGTATTTTCCTAGGACCGTGCTGTGCCAGGCAACCCTAGGAAAAGCTGAAACCTCTTTAAGGAAGCACTAACAGGTGGCATAGCCCCCCTGAAGCCTCTTTTCATCTTTGAATCCACAGCACAACCCATCTCTACAATCAACTCAGTTGATGGCTTCCAGGCCTCTTCCCCACCACAAGCCTGACCACCCTTAGCCAAAGCCTTCTGCAAATTCGCCCCCTGTGATTCTTAAACTGTTTGACCCAATTACAGGTAGTCCTTGGTTAACAATGGCAATTGGGACTGGAATTTCCGTCGCTAAGCAATGAGGTCATAAAGCATGACATCACACAACCATGCCGCTTAGCGAAGGCAGTTCCAGCACTTCTGGTT